TAAGCTGGAGAACAAACTACAGAGGAACAATATCAGAGATGTCTGGTCAGGGATGAAGATGATCACAGGCTTCAAGCAGAAGAAGGATTGCACAGATGGCAGCCTGGACACAGCCAATGAACTGAACAAGTTCTTCAATAGGTTCAGTTCAGGAACAAACCCAGCATCCTCCTCGCTTGTCCCCAGCCAATCAGACATCCCTTCTTCTTCTGATCCAACATTTTCCTGTCACACGCCAGCTCTTTTGTCCTCTAACACAGTCATGGGCTCTTCTGGTTCTATAACTCTGTCTTCAACCAAGTCAGGAGATGCTGCTGCCCCATTTACCTCCCCCTCCCACCTACCTGTCTCTAGAAGTCAGGTGAAGAGGCAGCTGGAGAGACTGAACAGGAACAAGGCTGCAGGTCCAGATGGTGTCAGCCCCAGAGTACTGAAGGTCTGTGCAGAGCAGCTCTGTGGGATTCTGCAGCACCTCTTCAACCTCAGCCTGGCCCAGGAGAAGGTTCCAGTCCTGTGGAAGACATCCTGCCTTGTTCCAGTTCCAAAGAAAACTCGCCCATCAGTCATTGATGACTACAGACCAGTTGCCCTGACATCCCACATCATGAAGGTTCTGGAGAGACTCCTGTTGGCCCACCTGAATAAGGAAACTGCAGCGGGTCCTGACATATCAGGACCCGCTGCAGTTTGCTTATCGCCATGGAGTTGGAGTTGAAGATGCCATCATCCAGCTGCTTCAACCAACCCACTGTCATCTGGACAAAGCAGGCAGCACTGTGAGGGTCATGTTCTTTGATTTCTCCTGTGCATTTAACACAATCCAGCCTGATGTACTTTGCCAGAAACTCCAGAAGACACAGGTGGGGGCCTCAGCTATCACCTGGATTAAAGACTACCTGACAAACAGACCACCGTTTGTGAGGCTGAAGAACTGCACATCGAACCAGGCGATCAGTACCATCGGAGCACCACAGGGGACTGTACTCTCACCATTCCTTTTCACCCTATACACCTCAGACTTCTAGTACAAATCAGAGACCTGTCATCTACAGAAATACTCAGATGACTCTGCAGTTGTCGGGTGTATCAGAGATGGACAGGAAGCTGAGTACAGAGAGCTGGTGGAGCGCTTTGTGGCATGGTGTGGAAACAATCATCTGACCTTGAATGTGAACAAAACAAAGGAGATGATTTTAGACTTCAGAAGAAACAGGGTGGAGTCAAACACTGTTTCCATCGTGGGAGAAGAAGTGGAGGTGGTTGAGGAATACAAATACCTTGGAGTTCACCTGGACAACAGACTGGACTGGAGAAAGAACAGTGAAGCTGTTTACAAGAAGGAACACAGCAGACTGCACTTCTTGAGGACGCTTAGGTCCTTCAATGTCTGTAGCAAGATGCTGCAGATCTTCTACAAGTCTGTTGTTGAGAGTGTAATCTCTTCAGCCATCGTCTGTTGGGGTAGCAGCATCAGAAGCAGGGACCTGAAAAGGCTCAACAGCCTAATAACAAAGGCTGGTTCTGTTCTGGAGACGACTGTGGAACCACTGGAGGAGATAATGCAAAGAAGGATTCTCCAGAGAATCAAGAAAATGATGGACAACCCTGAGCATTCTCTTCACAAGACTGTCCGACAACGGAAGAGTGTCTTCAGTCAGAGGCTTCTTCAGTTTGGCTGCAACGCTGACCGCTACTGGAGATCCTTCCTGCCAACAGCCATTGTAATATACAACAACTCTTTGATGACTTGATTATTATTATTATTCTGAGCTACTACAGAAATCAATTTCCCTCTGGGATTAATAAAGTATTTTTGAATAGAATTAAATTGAATTCAAGGATTTTTTTTTTTTGCCGGTAGGGCTGTAAAATAGGTATTAATTTTTTACAAAAGTGGTCTTGAAAAGGTCTTAAAAAGTCGAATTTAACTTGATAAAACCTGTACGGAAGAAGGGAAACTGAAGCTTAAATGTAGCTGCTGTCAGTAACAATCTAACATAATGTTAAAATTCTCAACAGACCGAATCGTTCAAAAATGTTAAACAAAATCTCAGAACTTTGCGTGTTGTGTGATATTTTTTATTGTTATTTATTTATTTATAATTAGTATTGGCTCTTAGTGGCCAGAACCCAGTGTGGTCCAACACAGCGAACGGCTGAATTATGCCTTTAATTATTTTACAGGTTATTTGCTCAACCTTCTGACTGTCACGCTCAAACAGATGAGTGTTAGTGAGTGGCTGCATTTGATTGATGATTTTTATTTCTGCAGTGTGCCTTAAAAACTAACCTCACTCCACCCAGAGTTTGTTCTTTAAAACTTGTATTAAATCCACTGTGTTGACACATTTAATGAGCTTCCTTCACACTAGGGCTGGGCGATTTGGCCTAAAATTAGTATCACGATATATTGATTTCACCTTAATAACAATAAATGGACGATAACTACAGGTATGCGAAGAAAAAAAAGTTGTCCACTAGATGGGGTTGTTGCGTGTATTACGTTGAGTTTTATTTTCATGTGACTCAAGATGGTACAGCTTCTTAAAGGGACATGAACATTGCCCACCTATACACATCTTTTCATTTTTTTAATATCAAATTATTGACACGGGAAAAATGATCTCGATAAGAGTCAGAAAATTTGATAACGAAAGATTTTCTATTTATTGCCCAGCCCTATTTCGCAGTTTATTTTACAAAGTTCTCACAGAGTAAAAATTTGGCCGACGCGTATGTTTACATTTTAACCTGTAGCCTGACCAGCCAGCCACATGGGTTACATGTGACAACAGTAGCATGAGGTGATCAATAAACAGTGTGAAGGGATCTATATCGTCCACAGAAACACAATTCAGCACAAAAATGGTAATATTGTTGGATATTCTGCCCAGTTTTATAGCTTTTAGTCAGATTCAGAACCAGAAAAAGGCTGCAGGCAGTGAAGCAGCAGAGCAACCACTGAACCCCCCCCCCCCCCCCCCCCCATCCAGTCAACGGCCCGACTCAGCCTTGCCAGCTACCTCAACGAATTAGAGACTAAAAAAATTGGAGAGAAAGTAGAGGGAAAATACAGAACTGTGCCCTTGAAAACTGTGGTTAGTCTAAGCTGCACCAGTCCTGGTTACTCTGAGTAGTGATCACGGAAAACTACCTTTAGTTCCGCTTCCGAGCAATGCTCAATGCCTAACCCTACTCAGACTACAGTGTTGGTTTTAGTTAGTTGAAATCCCACTTGAAGATTATCCGACTTGGTGGGAGTGTAACTGTGAGATTTATTTTGTCCTTTACCTTTAATGGTCCTACTGTTTGTTTTATTAAAAGTAGTTTTACATGCCACCTTCTGATGGTGCTATAGTGCTGTGGAGTATAAAAGGCAGCTCTACATGGAAAGACGAAGATAATTTTGCAAGGTTAATATCAATTAAACATGTAGCTTAAGAAAGATGAAGACGAAGGAACGAACAAGCCTAATTTATTGTGATAGCACACAGCAAACGAGGTATGTGTGTGTTTATTTCTGTATTTGTTACTTAACAAGTGTAGAAGAGTTCAAAATCGCAATTTGCCTCAAGAATGAATTGTTGCTTTTTATGCGTTTCTTTAGTTTTCATGTGTGGAATAAATTCACCTGTTTGAGGAAACCACTTGTGTCCGACATGATTCGTGGAAATGACAGCTAGAATTTGAAAAGCCATCTACGTCACACTGTCACCTGACATCTTGACTCGCGACAGGGAAGGCTGTTTAGCGTCTAGGAAACAGCAGAGAACATCTCGGCTAGTAGAGGCTAACTGTTAGCATTAGCGTTTCCACCACATGCAGAACTCCTTCAGGCTTTGTGGAGAATAAACTAGGGTTGGGCGATTTACATAACTTTTCCCACCGCCAATCGTCAGTCCAAAAAAAGACGATGAACGATTTATTTGTGCATGTGACATCATGACGCATGGACTGATTTGCAAACACAGAAGAAGATTTATTGAGTTTAATATACAAGCGCAGTGCAAATGTTTGCAAGAAGAGAAATTTAGAATTTTGTTTTTATTAAATTTTACATTTGTTGTTTGGTAGAGTGACGTATAAGCAGCTCGTGTTAAACACGGTTAAAGTGTTTAAAGGAAGCCTTGTCTTTGCCTCGGACTGACTCGTGGCTGTTTTAAATGTTTTTCTGGATGGATCTGTGCTCCGCTGGCACACTCCAAGCGGGTGCTGAATAACGATGGGCGTTACTTCAAAGATTTAAATCAGGAAACATTTCTCCAAATGAAATAACTAGAAGTCTTCCAGACTCTCTGAAAGATAGGAGAGTTTCCACTTTCCACTCAACCCTGCGCTGCTGTGCACATTGTCGAGTGCGTCACAGACACTCCCCGAGCATCTCCTCAGCACGCCGCTTGTGTGCCCACTGTCAGCAACGAGAAGTGGAGTAGTTGAGAAAAGTCTCTGCGCTGATGGAGACCTTTTCTTGATTACCTCTGCGATGTTCTCTGTGCGTAATGTGTAAAATATTTGTCAATAACAAACCAACTCACAGGCAACCAAATAAATAAATAAACAAATCGCCTCCTGTAAAAGAACAACTGTATGGTCAGTTCATTCGTCCCATTGCCCAACCCTAGAATAAACATCAATAAACATTGCAGGGCAAACCGAGTCATTGGTAGAGTCGCAATGTCGTTATCCAATATGAGGCAAGATGTCCAAATATCAGGAAATAAGAATTCAAATCCTGCAGTCTGGAGCTCTTCTCTGAAGCATAAATGAAGCGGAGCTTTTTCCCCCTAGCATACGACTTACAAGACATTAATTCCTACTGGAGACCACTTCAACTGTATTGATTAAATGAGTGTTCTACTCCTTTAATGTAAAAGGACAAGTTTGTGAACAGATACACACAATTTGTTAGTAAACATGTAAAAATGTAACACCACTGTGACTTTAAAGATTCATAAAGTTTCCACTGGTTCTTCCACTCTTAACACCTGTCTGTTTTGCAGCCTGGACGATTTGATAACGCCTCTGGCCCTGAAAGTTCCTGTGAGGTGTGTGTCTGTCACCAAGGAGCTCAGCCACATTCTAGTGGGGCTGGATGATGGGAAGTTAATAGTGGTGGGGGCAGGAAAACCAGAAGAGGTGAGAAGCTGAACTTCAAGATCAAAATATGAAGAAATTCTGCATATGGCAGAGTTTGTGTGCATGTTAAACATTTGAGCATTAGCAGGAAGGGCTAATCTCATGCAAAGCATTCCTTTGTAAATCAGGTTTTTTAGATGCCAATTTCTGTCTCCTTTTCACCTCTAAAGACACTAAACAAACATGTTCCCTCCTCTGCTTAGGTTCGCTCACGACAATTTTCCCGTCGTCTGTGGACCTCCACACGCCGCATCACTCAGGTGTCGTCAGGTGAAACTGAGTACAACCCCTCTGCGAGAGTTGGAAAATGAGAGGAGTAATATGGAGGAGCTCCAAGGAGCCTCACAGATCTGCTCCACTGGCAAACTGAGGAACTTGACTCATTAGCCACTGATCTCTCTGAGAGCGCAATTATACACTGAGCACTTTTTTACTCTTAAATGGTTTTTAAATATATTTTATGGGATATTTCTTTTACAGTTGAGCTGTTTTCATCAGCATTGTTCCAAATAGAGGCCTTGTTTTGTTTGAAGTGAAAAGCTTGCTTTTTAGTCTGAGGGCTTTCAGGGTAATGACTCACTCTTAAGCCGGGCGTACACTGTGCGACTTTTTCACTTTTTTGAGCCAATTTTCCAGTCGTGCGAGAATCCACGAGATCGGGGTGAGTTTTGTGCCGAGCGTCGTGTAGTGTACAGGGGGTTACGAGAGGCGATTAACACCACGTGACCAGCTACCGATCAGCAATCGTGAGTTCGCACGGACTTCTGGCGTGTTTAATATTTTGCTCATTCCTCATGAGGGTATCGCACTGTTGAAGCAGCGCAGCGAGCGGCTGCAACCCAAAAAGTATCAGAACCACTCACGGCGCATGCGCAATCCTGCATCAACACCGCTCGCCCGCTATTTCCCTAAAAACACACATTGTTGATTTTTATTTCTACACGTTTATTTACTCATAATGATTGTCAAGATTGTTTGTCGTATTCATGTCAAATTAAACTGATCACAAAACACAGATTTACTTTCTTTATTTCGTTTTCCTCATCCAACCCCCATAAATCCCTGTGTGTCCTCCTGCAGCACTCCCGAAGGACAACAGGCAAAACAAGTTAAAAAAAGTCTGACGTGTTGTGTAAAAACTGCTATTTTTAGCATATTTTTAGGGCCAACGTGTTGCTACCAGACGTGCAGTGTGAGCGCATGACTCGTGAGATCTGCCCTGCGAGGACGTCGTACAGTTTGAGCTGAAGCTGAGTGCTACGAGTGAAAAAGTCGCACAGGTACGCCCAGCTTTATGCACACTTATCTTTAGACAGAGTTAACTGTAAACTCCTTGAGCACCATGGCGGGTGTGGGCTTCGTGGGAGTGAAGGGACATGGCTAAGATCCTAAACTGTTGACTGGCAAATAGGGAACTTCTTAAAGCTTCTGAAAACTTAAAGGAAAAGAAACTTGCTCTGGATTTCTATGTTGCAATGCTGATGTGATGATTCTCAAAACATTTGGATCTGCCAGGTCACTAGAGGGCTTACTCTCTATTAAGAAAGGGGAGTAGTTTGAAGCTCTGACCCGTTGTGTTGTGATTGTTAATGTATGGCAGATGTTGAAGCTCACAGCAGTAATTTAACCACGGAGTCTATGTTTTTTCTCAGCAGAGAACTGTTACATTTAAAGCAGCCCATCTTTAATTGTCAAGTATGTGATATATACTCACTTAATTGTCCAGATGAAACTCGAAGAAAAAGTTTTCCGTTGCCTTACACACAGAATTGGCCTTTGTTTGCTTCAGCATTTCACCATTTGAATGTATCCTTTTGTAATTTAATTTAATGAATACTGTGAGTATTCAGACCCCCATCAATTTTTCACTCTGTTATATTGCAACCTTTTGCTAAAATCAATCAAATGAAAATGTTTCCTCATTAATTTACACACAGCTATCACATGGTCCTAAATATTTAGACCCTTTGCTCAGTATTTAGTAAGCCCTTTTTACAAGACACACCTTGCCTGGAAATCAGCATAATATTACTGCAACAGTGTGTCTTATGAATGCACAATGGCGATGCTTAAATTTTGTTTTGTAAAAACTGCTGTAGAAAAACTCTTTTGGTCTAATAAAGCCATGAGTCTTCTTGGTAAAGATGCAACAGTTTTTTACACCTGGAATTGGGGATCCTCTCCCATTCCTTCTTGCAGATCCTCTCCAGTTCAGTCAGGTTGGATGGTGAACGTTGGTGGACGGCCATTTTTAGGTCTCTCCAGATATGCTCAGTTGGGTTTAAGTCGGTGCTGGCTGGGCCATTTAAAAACAGTCACAGAGACAGAGTGAAGCCACTTACCCTTCTTGTCACAGTAAAGGGTGCGTTGTTGTGATCTTACAGTTAGGCTCCGATAGTCTATTCTTTAATAATTTTTGACATGTATTAGTAAGCGCGATAAATTGTTTGACCACCTCACTGTGAATTTTTGCTACAGCCTGGTCGGGAACCAATATAGTTTGTCCCATATGCGACATAACACGATTTAGTATGTGAAGAGATGTACGGTTCGCTAACTCATAAGACTTGGCGAGCATGTCCATAGACATATTTTCCAACATACCCATTCTGTCATCCTCTAATGTCAGGGTGTGTCCCAGATGAACTTTGACTTCCCCGTTTGTGAAGTTGTGACCACAGGACAGTAGGAAAGGACCCACCTCGTGTGGCTGGAGTACTTTTATCGCATCCCTGGTATTACGATCAAGCGCGCATAGCCGACATTTGGGCGAATGGTACGGTTCGACCGCAACTACATCGGGATGCTGGTCGACGTTTAACTTGACGAATGCCTTCGGGTACTGCCTTTGTAACACGTGATCGAAATTTCTAACTTCATGTTGAGATAGATCACCTTGTATCTGACTGATCGGATGCATCTGGGTATAAACTGAACATGGGATCGGATGCCATTGATATAGCATACCCGGGGTTTGCTCGTGATCCGTGCGCACTAGGAATCCACGCTCGCTCCTGACCAGAAGACTTAGTTGTACTAACAAAGGATGCAGTGGTGGACGCTCCGGCCTTGGGTTGTGTATTCACAATCGCACTGGCTGCCAAACGGTCAGAGGACAATGTCCGATGTCCATCTTCCGAGGATAGATTCATAGTATTCGAATCCCAACGCTCAGTCGTTACCTGACAGAAACTGATGCGTTGCTGGATACATAAAGTGTGACAGGTCCACGGTTTCGGGGGGAATGCTGTCTTTAGCGTGTTCTCACTTTGCATCTGTTTGCTTGCATCGCGATACGGTCGACAATGTCATAACGCTGTTACATAGTGAACAGTGTAAATGTTGCAGATTCCATCACAACAACAAAGAAACGTGGACTAGACATGGAGGCTTTCTCAACATCGGACCTTGCTTGCAAGGATTGTTTAATGTAAAAGTGTCTGAGGCTACCAGGTTGACAGATTTACTCACAGAACTGACGCGTGTGAAAGAATCAAAACGAGATTCTCGACACAGTCCTGTCATGGTAACACCCCCATACTGTATGGTAGCAGAAGTCAAACACATTTCTAGTGTGGCGTTCCACTTTCTATTGACCTTAGACAACAAATTTATTTGGGGCGACAATTTGACATTCGCCACAAAGGAAAAACTAGCGTGAGTTTACAATGGCACATTGCGAACCATCACTATCCGACCGTGAATTGGGACTGGGTCGTTTTCGTTACGGACAACGGGCCCGCATGCGTTAAGGTCCAGGCTGACGACAGAGTTAGAGCAATGTTCGATTTGTCTACCAACACTTTAGAGGACTACATTTACCCAGAACAATATCCTGATGGGCCGCTCTGTTGCGATCGATCTAAGTTTGTGCCGATATTTTGTACAGACTGTTACAGTACTCAGGAATCACAATACAAAGAAGATCCAATCCAATCCAATCCAGTTTTATTTATTAAGCACTTTAAAAGACCCAGCACAGGAACAAAGTGCTGTACAGAAAATACATTAAAACAATTGACTAAACAGAAAACAGCAAAGATAAATAAATAAATAAAACACATGATACATAAAATTAAAATAGCCCTATGTTAAAAAATAAAAACTTGATAGAACTTGATAAAACCACATTGAATCACCTAAAACAGCTAAAATAAAATAAAAAATAGAAACCAACATCTCACAAGGTATCAAAAGCCAGGGTAAAGAGGTAAGTTTTCAAGAGTGACTTAAAAACAGGTAAGGAACTGGCCTGTCTTATCTCTAATGGAAGTTCGTTCCACAGTTTTGGAGCTGCTACATTAAAAGTGCGATCTCCTCTAAGTTTACGCTCAGTCCTGGGTACAATCAGGAGCAGCTGATCAGCAGACCTGAGAGAGCGGGAGGGAGTGTAAGGCTGTATCAGGTCAGAGAGATAAGAGGGGGCGAGGCCATGAAGACCTTTAAAAGCAAACAAGAGGATTTTAAAATGAATCCTAAAAGAAATGGGCAGCCAGTGAAGTGAAGCTAAAACAGGGGAAATGTGCTCAAACTTTCGAGTGCCAGTTAAAAGACGAGCTGCAGCATTTTGCACCCTCTGTAGGTGACTAATACATGATGCACTGACCCCAATATAGAGTGCGTTACAGTAATCCAGCCGAGTGGTTACAAAGGCGTGGATCACTGTCTCAAAGTGCTGCCGTGAAAGAATTGGCTTTATTTTTGCCAGCTGCCTGAGGTGAAAGAAGCTAGATTTTACCACCGCCTTAACCTGATGTTCAAACTTTAGATCACAGTCCACTTTGACCCCCAGGTTGGTGACTGTTGGCTTAACAAACTGGGCCAAGGAATCTACAAACACATTGGGGGTCTCAGTAGGACTACCAAAAATCATCACCTCAGTCTTTTTATCATTGAATTTTAAAAAGTTCACAGACATCCAAGCCTTCATGTCATCAAGACACTGAAGTAATGGCTGTATGAGGTTTCTGCCTTTTTTCTTTAGAGGGACATAGATCTGACAGTCGTCAGCATACAAGTGGAAGGCAATGCCATGCTTTCTCAATATAGAACCGAGAGGAAGAAGATACAAAGAGAAGAGGAGGGTGCCTAGAACTGAGCCCTGCGGGACACCACACAAGAGAGGAGCGGAGGATGACACATAGTCACCGAGACTGACACAAAATTTTCGCCCCGCCAAATAGGACCTGAACCACTCCAGAGCTGTGCCGCTAATGCCCACCCAGTGCTCTAAACGAGAGAATAAAATGGCATGATCCACAGTATCAAAAGCAGCTGTCAAATCTAAAAGCACAAGAACAACACAGTCCCCAGCATCAGTAGCTAAGAATATGTCATTAAAAACTTTTAAAAGGGCTGATTCAGTGCTGTGAAAGGGTTTAAAACCAGATTGGAAAACCTCCAATACATTTTGCTTTTCCAGGAAGGCCAATATTTGGCTATAAACTACCTTTTCAAGAATTTTAGAAAGAAAGGGTAGTTTGGAGATAGGCCTGTAATTCGCAAGATCCTGCGGATCAAGAGCAGGTTTTTAAATCAGAGGTTTGACTACTGCATGCTTAAAATCTTTAGGGACAACGCCTGACATCAGACTATGGTTTACCAGCTCAAGAACCAAAGGACCAACTGTAGGTAACACCTCTTTTAAAAGTCGAGGAGGAACAGCATCATTTGGAGACCCTGCAGGTTTAAGATGACCAACAGTCTCTTGTAGACATGACAGAGTCACAGGCTCAAACCTGTCAAAGACAGCAGAGCAGGAAACAACGACTGAGGGGTCATGAGCACAAGGACAGATTTGAGCCCTTGTGGAGGAGACCTTCTCAATAAAGAAGAGTAACAAATTTTCACAGGCTTCTAATGAGGGCTCGATACAGTCAGCATATGGTGCACTAAGAACAGAGTTAATAGTTTTAAATAAAACACGCGGGTTGTGGCAGTTAGACAAGATAATGTCCGATAAGTGTTTTCTTTTGGCCTCTTTCACAGTTCTTTGATATTGACGCCAACAGTCCTTCAGCATCTGAAATGACACCTGTAGTTTGTCCTTTTTCCATTTGCGCTCAGCTCGACGGCAGTCGCGTCTGACAGCTCGGGTCATGTCGTTCAGCCAAGGCTCAGATTTAGTTTTAGGCCGCCTGGTTTTTAATGGAGCCACAGTGTCCAAAGCAGTCCGACAGGTGGAATCAAACCAAGAGCTCAGTTCCTCAGTCTGGCTGCATAAAAAATCTGGGATCTGACAAATCTGGTCAAAGACTGTTGAAAAGTGCTCAGCAGTGGAGGAGTTAAAAACACGTCTGCGCTGAGCAACAGCGCGAGGTTTAACTGAGGCACATACAAGAGGAACTTCAAACATCACAGGACTGTGGTCAGAAAACACAGCATCACAAATCTCTATGTTAAAACTAGGAAAGCCATGAGATAAAACAAGATCGAGTGTGTGTCCACGTTCATGTGTGGGACCTGCCACACATTGCACCAGATTAAACGAATCAATGAGGTTTAAAAAGCCCCTCGCCATGGGCATATCAGGACAACACACGTGAATATTAAAATCCCCAACAATAAGAATACGGTCATATTTTGGCATGAATTCAGCCAAGAAGTCAGCAAAATCATCCAAAAAGTCCTTATTGTATTTAGGAGGCCGATAAACCACCGCACACAACACTGTGTGAGAGCAGCCCAGCTCAAACACAGACAGTTCAACGCTGGTAAATGACGGGGTTGGTAGCTGTTTACATCTAAAATTACTTTTAAAGATAGTGGCTATTCCTCCTCCTCGGCCCAACAAACGCGGGGAATTAAAATAGCAGCAATCGCCAGGTAGAAGATCTGAGAAGATGCCGCACTCACCGGCGCTCAGCCACGTCTCGCACACACAGAGAAAATCTAGTCCTCGGGATGTAAAATAATCCTTCAAAATAAATGTTTTGTTCGTTAGAGACCTAGCATTTACCAGGCCAAACCTGGCGGTAAGCGGCGGGTCCCCGTCGCTAGAAGCCCGACACAGAGGCCGCAGGTTTCGCGGATTCACACCACGCCGGCGGGGACGAGGAGAGCACGGTTTCCGGGACTGGGACGTCCCATCCAGGCCGAAGACAGGTACCAGCCAGGCACAGACAGGATCCAACGATCGCCGAG